GGGGAAGAAGGCCCAGGAGGGGTGAGGGCGGAGGCGGCGGGTGGCCGGGTAGCTGCTGCGCCTGATGACCCAACGCTGGCCGCTGCCGCTGCGGGTGCTACAGCTACGGCCGGTACAGCCCCCGCCGCAGTAGCTGGTGACGATGAGGATCTAGTTGCGGGGGAGCTGAGGCACTGGGCCCGAATGGCGCACTTGCAGGTTTGTGTGTGCATGTGGGGAGAGGGGAAAAGGGGGGCGACGGGGGGGGGAGAGCTTGGGGTTTTTTTATAAGGGTTGGTTTGGGATCCGGTTCGACACGGAGCTCGTGAGGTTGAATCAGAGACGGGAGATGTACGACGCGACCCGACTGGTTTGCCCGTACCTCGGTTCGGTGGACTTGACCACCTTACCCCGGCACCCCTTCCTTCACCCCTAGGGCCCCCCCAACCATCCACCCACTAGTCACGTGTATGCGCTTCCCTCTCCTTCCCTCTCCTTCCCTCTCCTGTTCCCGCCTTGTCTGAGGCCACCTCGCGTCTTCCTACACCCCCCCTCCCACCCCCTCTGCCACCTCGCCCGCTTTAGCTCCTAGCCAGCTGTCGTCAGCTCGTATGTCAGTTAGCTCCCCTCCTCGGTCCGGGGGAGAACCTGGAGCAGGAATTCCAGGTGGGGGGTTTCGGGAGGGGGGAGAGGGCTACGTGGGGTGTTTTATGGTAGGTACGGCAATGCGCAAACGCGTTGGTATGATGCATAGCGTATATGTATGTATGTCTGCATGGATTTGTGTGCGTGTGTGGAGAAATGGAATGGGGGGGAAGCTCGCGGGGGGGGAGGGAGGAAGAGTCCTGCGGCAGGGGGAGGGGGAGGGGAAGGGGGGCAGTGTGGAGGCACGCGCGGAGGCATCTGCCGTTTATTCGGACGTTTCTTCCAGCCGGCCGCCTCCACGGCCCTCCCCTCCCACCTCACAGTGCCGCATCAGCCGCCAGGTGCCGCCAGCTGTGCTGCCGCCAGAGGTGGTCGCCGCCTCCGCCGCTGTCGTACTGCCGCCAGCTGTCGCACCGTCGTTGCGTCACGCCGCCGCTGCCGCCATCTCCGGACAGCTACAGCTCGCCGTCGACGTCATCGACGGGATCATCGCGAGGGAGGAGGAGGCGGCGGCGGCGGGCCGCGACGGCGCTGCAAACGGCGCCGCGCTGCCGCCGCTGGCGGTTGCGGCGCTGCTGTACGCCGAGGTGATGGAAGCTGCAGGTTACGCGCCGTCACCGCCGCCGCCAACGTCGCCGCCAGCGGCGGAGGACACGGCCTCGTCCACAGCTTCCGCTACTGCGGACTCTAAGGAGGAGGAGCGCAGCGAAGGGGCTGGCGTCGGCGGCGTCGGCGATGGTACGGCATTAGCGGGGGCGGCGTCAACTTCCTCAACGGGCTCCCTGGAGCGCTTGGCTCGTTACCAGCTGAGTGAGAGGGCTCGGGGTGCGCCTCCGGACAGCCTCATGGTGACGACTCAGGTCGGTTGGCGGGAGGTGGTTAGACGGTTGAGGTCGTTAGGCCGTTGGGACGGCTGGGCAGGTGCCGCGGTTGGCCTTCTCGAAATGTCTCTCATGAGGATAATTATTTCCCCTTAGTGTATCGCTGTGCAATGGTTAGGAAGGGCTAATGAACGGGGGGGGAGGTTACCCGGGGCCCCCACTCCTTGCCTGCCCCTGTGGTCGCCATGTCGGGTGCCTCCTCCCCCCCACCCGCTGTTTGTGGCCTTGAACGTCGGTTGGCAGTTGGCAACCCCCAAACCCGCACGCTCTCCCCCCTTCCCCCCCCCCTCCAGCTCCTTCGTCTGGTGCTCCCCGGCGGCCCCCGGCACTCCGTGTACGGCATAATGGAGAAACTGGCGGAAAACAACATGAGTACGGCAGTACGGCAGGCCATGCAGGTTAGGACGCGGGCGGATGGGTGGCTAGATCTGCCTGGTATGTGTGTGTATGTGTATGCGTGAGTGCATGGTGTGTGTGTGTATATATGTGTGTGTTGCTAGGGCGTGTGTGGGCATTTTTGTATGAGGCCGAGGCCTTCCCCTAGCCCGCATCCCCTAACACTCCAACTCCCCAACCAGGCCTGCCCCCAATACCCCCCCCCCACCACCCCCTTTTCCCTCGGGGGGACATCCACCCAGCGGTTACCGGCAGTTAGCGATTCCCTCGGTGCTCCTCCTTGCAGTATCAGCATCTTGTGATCAAACCCCCCTTCCCCCTCCCCCTTCCCCCAGCTTCACTCGTGTGTGGTTCGTCTTTCCCCCTTCCCCCGGCTACAGATTCGGCGGCAGCGTACGGCGCTGGAGGCCCAGGCGGTAGCAGTGCTACAGCAGCAGCGGGGCGGGACGGCCCTCTCGGGACGGGGGGGAGCGCTGGTGGTGGGGCCGGGAGGGGAGGCGGAGGCGGCACGGTGAGGAGCACGGCGGCGAGGGGCGGGGCTAGTGGGGGGCAAGGGAAGGGGGGAGGACACGGGAGAAGGAAGTGCGGCAGCGGTGGTGGACGGTAATGGTATTGGTAATGGTATTGGTATTGGTATTGGTGATGATGATGATATGATGGCGCCGGCGAGGCCCCGGTGGCTGTTGTGGTGCGGTAACTCTCTCTCTACCCCTAACCCCCCCTTCCCCTTGTTGCCAGGGGCGCTCTGGTTCCGGTTCCGGAGCGGCTGTGGGCCACCCGCAATGTGGCCAACAACCTGATGAGGTTTGGGGAGCCGCTGCAAGTGGGGGAGGCGGTGGGCATGCTGGAGGAGGCGGGTGAGGAGGTGTGGGAGGGAGGGAGGGAGGGGGTGATGGTGGCGGGAAGGGGGAACGGGGAGGTGTGTGTTTGCGTTCGTGTGCTGCGCTCCGACGACAGGAATGCAGGTCTGTGTGTGTGTATGTATGTCAGTCGGTTTAGGTATACAGAGATGGAGGAGGGGTTCAGCCGGGTTGGGAAAGGGGTATGCCTTCGGATCGGGGGCTGATTGGGATGTGTATTCCAAGGACAAGGCCCTTTTATCTCCTGCTCTCCCCCGCCCGCGGCCCCCCCACACACAGTGGGGTTTCCCCCGCCATACCCCCTAAGGTAGTTCCTTCCCCCCCTCCCCCTCTTCGTTCTACTGCTCGTTTCTTCCGCTCGTATTTTAGTCTTTGCGGCTAGATAGGTAGTTGTCCGACATCATCTTCACTACGTCATCCCGAGATCGCCGCCTTCAAAACCGCCTACTGGTCAGTTCTGCTTCTTGTACACGCTTTCCTTGGCAGCAGCTTCACTCGTTCGTGGTTCGTCTTTCCCCCCCTCCCCCTTCCCTCACCCACTGCCCCACAGTATCATTGGCCCGCCGCCACTACGGCGACCGCCACCCGGGTCAGCTTGCCGTACTCCTAGACTACCTGGATGCTCTGGCCGCGGAGGCCGCCGTACAGTCAAAGATTGCCGTACAAGACGCACCGTCGTCATCAACGAGGGCGGCGGCGAGGGCGCTGGAAGTTGAGGGCGGTGGTGGCAGTCCAGGGGTGGCGGCTCGGCGAGCTCGCGCTGCTGAGGAGCTGCTGGAGGTGGTCCAGGTGGCTGAGTGGTGAAGGGGGCTGGGATTGGGGTTGTGTGTGTGTGTATGTATGTATGTATGTATGTATGTATGTATGTATGTATGTATGTATGTATGTATGTATGTATGTATGTATGTATGTATGTATGTATGTATGTATGTATGTATGTATGTATGTATGTATGTATGTATGTATGTATGTATGTATGTGTGTATGTGTGTTCTTGGAATGAAAACAAGAAATTTCCGGAAGTGCCGCGCGAATCCTGTGTGAGCGCATGTGTGTGTGTGTGATGTGTATGGCGTGTGTGCGAATGGTAGGAGAACGAGGGAAGGCACGGTGGTGGTGGTGGTGGTGGTGGTGGTGGTAGTGGTAGTGGTGGTGGTGGTGGTGGTGGTGTGAAGTGTGTGGGGGCCCCTTTCAAGCAATGTCTTCCTGGTTGCACATACCGACATACATTTCCTCCCCATTCCTCGCACCTGACGGTGCGGTTCGGGAGCTGGAGCTCCGGTGTGTGAATGTGGTAATCCGTGACCCTCCTCTACTTACTTATTCCCCCCCCCCCCCCGTCCCCCGCTCGGCCCCCCCCCGTTCAGGTCCTATGCGAGCGCTACCAGCGCAGTCCTGACCCCCTGAGCTGCGTGCTGCTGCTGGAGGCCGCTGTGGCGGAAGTGACACCCGCACTACGGGCCACATCTCTACCCGGACGTGGGGGTGGGGGTGGGGG